GACCTAGCCCCCCATCCCTGCCCTTTCCCAAGGGAAAGGGAGGACAGAGCCACTGAAATGCTCCTTTGTGCCTCCATCCCACCCCAAAGTGGCCTGGGGTTTCCACCCTGAGCTTCCCCCCATACCCGTCTTGCTACCTGGTGCAGGAGTGAGCAGAGAGAAGTACTCATAATTGGGACGGGGGTGACCACAGCAAGTGCAGAGTGTTTACTGTGGGACCCAGAAGGCAGTACTCTGGCTCACTGGAGGTCTAGTCTAGCTGGGAACCCCAAACCAGTTCTTTGCCTTTTTAATCTCCCTAATGAGCAATAATGGGCATCTGCTAGGTACCAGACACCCTGCTGTGCTGGTCTTTACTTGCATTTGGGGGGCCTAATTCTCACTGCAGCTCCATAAGGTCCTACTCTATTGTGTGCCTTTTGCACAGGTGGAGACTGCAACTTGGACAGGCTACTCGGCTCCTGCAAGGCTCCACAGCAGTCAGAATTTGAACCCAGGCTGCTCTGATTTCCAAAGTTGGCCTTTTCTCAACTGTCTCTCCCTCCAGACTGACTTCAGAGTAATATCCCAGGATCCCTGAGATTCTAGAAGCTTCCTGTGGTAGGTAGTGTGGTAGGGCCTTTGCAACCAGGAAACAATCTGGAACAATCTCTCTTTAAGAGCAGTGTGTGTGGGTGGGGGTTGGGGCAGCTCTAGGCCAGCCCCCCACACCCATTTTGGCCTGATAAATGTGTAAGCAGTGATTGAGCTAATGGCTTTAAAGTGCTCAGGGCTTTGGAGACATAGCAGGCAGCCACAGCTAATGAAAGGGCTTGGATGACCCTTGCTTCATAACCCTGTGAGCATCAATATGCCTGCTTCTGCCAGCATACACCCTCCTGGCCAACCCACTCCTTTCTGATCTTGGGGGCAAAGAGGTGTCCTTGTCCTGCACTCATGACCCTCTCCCTAATAAGAGGACCTCTGGAGTACCAGGCAGCAAGAGATTCCCCCCACCCCTTCAATCCTGACATTCTCCACCTCAAGTCCCAGTCAAAAAAACAAGTTAGGGACCAGTGTCCCAGGGTCCCTGACATGGAAAGACCACCCATCTATCCAAACAAATTCCCTACCCGCACTATCTAATTTCTACTACTGGGAGGGCGTTCCTCTATCTTAGGAGTTTTCCAGAGGCCCTGGAAGAGCTACCCTCTTTGGAAAGGGGACTCTTCGTACAGTTATCTCACAGAAGGTCTTCGGGGTCTTTCCCCCACTCTTTCGGTTGTAGATAAGAAACTGAAGCTCAGAGATGGAAGAGCTTGGTGTAAATTCACACAATGAATCAGAGCAGCAATGAAACAACCCTCCCCTCCTGATGCCCCCCTCAGGACTTCTTCCCTTGCCCTCCAAGTTTCTACCTGGTCACTTTGAGATGGGAGGGGACTCAGGGGTTCTCACTGAGCTGCAGAATCTCACTACCCAGCCCCTCCATACCCCAAGCCCCCTTCCCCCCCATCTGCTTCTTCCCACGTACCTCTTGTCCTGGGGGCAAGCCTCAGCTGGGAAGTCGACCTGTTTGGGATAGAAGTTGGGAGCCAGAGCACCTTCTCTCTCCTTTCTCTTTCTCTCTTTCTGTCTTGGCAGTTGCTGCCTGCCCTGCCCTGCCTGCCCCGCCCCACCAGCTGCAGCTTGGCCCCTAGGGACCTTTCCTCCCTTCCCCCCAGACAGCCAGAGGGCCTGCAGGAGCAACTGGAGCCTCCTCATTTCTCCATCATAGGAGCCAGCAGGGAGGAAAGGGGTTATTTGGAGGTCACAGAATCCACTCTTGGCCTTGCTGGGGAGAAAGGAGGGAGGGAGAGGGTCCTGGTGGGGTCTGGCCTCTGGTCCAGCGCTAGGGAAAGGGGTGCCTCAGCGCCATCTGCTGGCTTCTCCTGGTAAAACCTCAGGCAGATGTAGGGCATTGGGAGGGGGAGATGGCAGTGTCTGAGGGTTTGGGAGGGAGGAGGAAAGGAGGCTGAAGGAGCGGGTGTGTAGGACTGGTAGGATTTGGGGAGTTGTAGCTGTGGGATGCAGCCATCTAAGGTCTTATGGGGCATGGGGTTCTTGGGCCACACCTCAATTCTGAGAGAAGCCCTGGGCCTGGAGCCTGGCAGCCAGTGGGAGCTGAGTTGGGAGGGTTTAGAGGCATCCTAGTGATCCTGGGAGGGGGCTTATAGCTCCAGTTGCTTTATGTACACCATCTGTCCTCCATCTCTTAACACAGGCCCTAACATGCAGTAGGTGCTCAGTAAATGTTGCTTGTATAGAATAAATTAATTCTTCTAACATACATCTACTGAGCACCTATTATGTGCCAGGTTCTGGGTAACAGTCTGTAAATACAGCAGTTAAAGAATGAATGAACACATAAATGGGAATCTGGGGGGCCTCTGTCCTCCTAAGGTACACTCACTGACCTCCATTTGGATTGGAGAACTTCACAGATGTCTGTGAAGTCTGGGGGTTGGCTGGTCACTTACACATTGGCATCTGATGGGGCCACTAGCATTTGGAACCTTCTAGGTGTTAAGAGCTGTCTGAAGTCTTAGCACCTAACTCAGACTGCAGGTGCCCAAGCCAGATCCCAGGAAACCATGTAGAATAGGCAGGCCCCTCTTTTTGCTTTGTTTTGTGTTTTGCAGTTCTGGGGAACCCAGACTCTCTACCACTGAGCTACATCCCCAGTCTTTATATATATATATATATATATATATATATATATATATATATATAAATAAAGACA